GCAGGATGCTCAACTGAAAGAAAGTATCTGTGATGAAGGATGAGGGAATTCTAAATGTGACTTAACCTGCTGCACAGAACACACATGTCCTTTACTTTAGTATTACCAATTCTTCATACTGATATAATTAAAGCTCAGTTACAAAAGAGTCAGAAGATGAAAATCTCTTATCTGGAATGCTCAGAAGTATTTTGCATTACAGATCTTAGAATATTTGTAAACACACGGCAACCTGTGGGAAAACCAAGTTTAAACACGAAATTCACTATGTTTCATCTACATCTTAAACACACACCCTAGGCGCCAGCACTGTGGCATAGCTGCTCTACTTCCAATCCTGCTCCCTGAAAATGTGCCTGGGAAAGCAGCCCATGATGGACCAAATGCCTGGGCCCTTGAACACATGTGGAAGACCTGGATGAAGTTCTGGCTTCAGTCCAGCCCAGCCCTGGCCACTGTAGCCAATGGAGAGTAGAACAGTAGTTGATGAAGCCTCTCTTTGCCTTTTTCTCTCTGCTGTTGCTCTCTGTAACACTTTCAAATAAATCTTCTAAAAAAATAAGAGAGCCCAGTGTGGTGATCTAGTAGCTGAATCCTCGCCTTGCGTGTGCTGGGATCCCGTGTGGGTGCGGGTTCGTGTCCCAGCTGCTCCACTTCCTATCCAGATCCCTGCTTGTGGCCTGGGAGGGTGGCAGAGGACGGCCTGGATTCTTGGGACCCTGCACCCACACAGGAGATCTGGAGGAGGCTCCTGGCTCCTGGCTTCAGACTGGCTCAGCTCCAGCCTTTGCAGCCATTTGGGAAATAAACCAGCAGACGGAAGATCTTTCTGTATCTCCTTCTCTTTGTAGATCTGCCCTTCCAATAAAAATAAATAAATAAAATAAGAGACATAATGCCCAAAGCAAATTTTATATATTTTGAACACATCTGCACTTTGACTCACCCTGTTCCGTAACATGAGGTATGGCATTTTCCACTTGGTACCATGTTAGTGTTCAGAAAGTTTTTAGAGGGTAGACATTTGTCCTGTTTGTTACAATACCTATATCTTCATTCCAAATTCCAACTTCCTGACATTACACAACCTGGGAGGCAGAAAGTAACGGCTCAAGTACTAAGGTCCCAGCTTCCCATGTGGGAAACCTGCATTGAGTTCCTGTATCCTGGCTTCAGCCTGGCCCATCCTGGCCACTGTGGGCATTTAGGAACCAGCAAATGGCATATCTGTCTCTGCTCTCAAGTAAAGAAGTAAAATCAAAGGAAGAAAAAAAGGTTTTGGATGCTTAGAGCACTTCAGATTTCCAGATTAGAGCTGCTCTACCTACGAAAGCTATCAGTGTTATCTACAATGGAAATAGAGATGAGTGTGAAGAATAATAACTACCTTCTCTAGCAGTAGGTACAGCTATGATTCTGGCTCTCAATTATAACTGGTGTCCTTTTGCAGATTTGAAACCTCTGAAGTCATTCCCTCATCTACCTTTTTGAGAATCACTATGTAGCCGGGTGCTATGCCGAGCTTACCCGATCTTTGCCCTTCTCCTATCTCTCAAGCGCCATTAGTGACCAACTCCCATTAATTTGGATGTGTCCTACTTCCTTCTCCATTTTACAGTTGCCTGAAGAATACATGAGGTCTTCACTAACTACACAAAATACCAACCACTGGCAGGCGCTGTGGCATGGTGGGTTAAGCTGTCCCTTCCATAGCAGAGTGCCAGGTTAAATAAGATGCAGCTACTCTGATTCTAACACAGCTCCCTGTTAATTTCACCTGAAAAGCAGCAAATGACACTTGAAAACACTGGGTTCTGCCACCCAACTGGCGACCAGATAGGATTCTTGATTCATGGCTGGCCTGACCCTGGCTGTTATAGTCATCTAGAGACTGAATTTCTCTCCCCATGACCTTTCAAATCAAAACAGATCTTTAAAAAATATTAACCAATGAATATGCAATCATTGAAACAACTTACAAATCAGCACTGTGGCACAGTGAATTAAGCATTTGCCTGCAATGCTGGCATCCCATTTTTCAAATAAATAAAACTTTTTTTTAAAAAAATAAATGTTTGAAAAAGAAATAAAATTACTTGTAAAAGCAAGTAACATCAGGAAACTCAATTAAGTAAAAAAAAAAATGATATGAAACTGTTCAGAGTATAACTACAGCAATAAAAAATAAGTAAATAAGAAACCCACCTTAGAAAAACAATGAAGGAAACAACTAATACATTGAGGTTTTCTGGTAGATGAACTCTTTTTTATTTTTCTTAAAGACTTATTTGGTTATTTGAAAGGCAAAGTTACAGAGATTGAAAAACAGAGAAATCTAGCCACCTGCTGTATATTCCGCAAATGGCCACATCTGTCAGGGTTGAGCCAGGTTGAAGCAAGGAGCCTGAAACCCATCAAGGTCCCCCATGTGGGTGCAGGGAGGGGCCCAGGGACTTGGGACATCTGCTGCTCTCCCAGGTGCATCAGCAGAGAGTGGATCAGAACTGGAACAGCACCCATATGGGATGCCATCATTGCAGATGGCAGCTTAACCTGATGTGCCACATTTGCCAATCCCCAGCTTTATTATTAAAATTTTATTTTTAGGCTAAATAGCAAATTATTTCTGAGGTTTTTAACTCCCATTCTTAGAAATAATGAAAGTAAACAACCAGGCTATTATTTTAATCTCTCAGAAGGTTTTTAAAAACAAAGTTCCAGGCCCAATACTAAATCCAGGCTCAGTGACTAAATTCTTGCCTTGTAAGGGCTAGGATCCCAAACGGGTGGCAATTATTAACCCTCCACTTCCCTTTCAGCTCCCTGCTTGTGGCCTGGGAAAGCGGTGGAGGACAATCCAAAGCTTTAGGACCCTGCACCAGTGTGGGAGACCTGGAAGAAGTTACGGGCTCCTGGCTTCAGATTATCTTAGTTCTGGCCACTTGGGGAGTGAACCAGCAGATGGAAGATATCTTTGTCTGACTTTCCAATAAAAATAAATAAATCTTAAGCACATACACACATACACACACACAAAGTACCATCCAGGTTTATCATAATATTTCTACATGTTGAAAACTTTTCTCCGAAGTCCCAGTGTCAGCTTTTATAAACAGCTCTTTTCCACTATTAACTAGCTTAAAACTCTACTAAGCTCTTTTTTCCCTAAGCCCATTTCCCATTATGTTTCCATTCCATTTTTCCTTCAAATGCATCCTGTTCCTGACTTTGCCTGTCCATTATCACTACTACCTATAAGCCTCTTTTCTCTAAGATTTTGTCCAGAATACTCCAAAACCTCATCTTTAAACACTATTTTCATAAAATCATTGGTTGTTTTCTATTTTAATGCACAATGCTGCTTTCTCTACTCAAACCTAAGCCTGTTTTGGGATTAGAAATTTGCATTTCCCATGACATATTCTATCTTCAAATCAGGCAGAACTATGAGAGTCCTTTGAATTTAAATCATGCCTACTCTGTTTTCACTAGGTTATTTCTAACATCAAATTGAAAGCACTATTATTTGCGGTGGCACAGCAAGCTAATCTTCTACCCCATGCCAATATCCCATATGGTTATCAGTTCATGTCCCAGCTGTTCCACTTCCAATCCAGTTCCCTCCTTATGGCCTGGGAAAGCAGCAGAGGATGAGGCAAGTTCTTGGGTTCCCTGTACTGAACCTACTGGCTTCAGATTGATTCAGCTCTTGCCTTTGGGGAGTGAACTAACAGACAGAAGCTCATTTTCCCTGTTTCTTTCTGTAAATCTGTCTTTCAAATAAAAAGAAAATGAAATAGATATTTAAAATAAAAAAGTATTATTCTTCTGTGACTAATCTAAATTCCATGCTCAAATCCTTGTGCAGGTTCTGCCTTTCCCAGCAATCATTCGTATCTAGTCCACAGTGATCTCTCTTCTGATTCCCTATCACACTTACAGTCAGTAACGTCAAGTGGAACAAAGAATTGCTCTATGACTATTGTTCATATATTGGCTTTCCCCAAATAAAACACCAGAAGACAGAAACTAAGAGGGTCAAAGAAAAGAGCAAACACAAGTGATTAATCCATCATGAGTAAGACTTTTCCTACAGTCAAAACACATTCTCAACTGTCAGCTGGTTTGAAGCTGTGTGGGCTAAAAAGCCAAGCTGTTTCACATATTTCTTTATCTTGCCAAAAGCAAGGCCTACAACTCACAACGTAGGGGAAAAAAGAAGACAAAAATTTTGACTTGCTTCAATTGATACAGTGACATCCATGATATTTTAAGAATAAAGTAAAACTCCACATTTCTCCAATCTCTTCTTGTTGAAGTATCCTCAAGTTAGAAAATGAGGAAAACAAATCACTTTTCCTTAATTAATAACTAACATTTTTGACTGTTTCAAAGAATGATGGAAAGATATGTTCAACACAAACTTAACACTTGATGTACATTGTTTTTTTAGCCAACTTGGGATCTAATCACTGATCCACAAAGAGTTCCATTCAGGCAAACAGCGCAAGACTTCCCCAGGCTGTGCAGCAGCCCACGGTTATCACCTTCCAGGCCCAGTGTTTTACATTCGCTTCCCTTTCTAGGTTTCAGAGAAATTTCTAAAGATCTGACCCTCCCGTTCTATAAAACCTTCATCCAAATTCCAAGACATTAAAATTGGTCTTGAGGTTGCAGGGGCACCTGTTCATCTAGATGATCCTGAGAGAGTAAATACCAGGTGTATAAACCACAAATTAATAAAATAAACAGACATGGGAATTCATTCAGTGTAGGCAAATAGGTATTTTACAGACAGGCTTAAGCAAAAATGACAAAATGGAAAACAGAATTTCCCTGGGAGCATCTGTCAGCCCTCGAGAAGATTCAGACAGGGACACCTTTCAGTGAACGTGTCAATCATAAGCATAACGGACTATTTATAATGTGGTTACAGGCTATAGGTTACATGTGCCCTGAAGGTAACAGGTAACAGGTAATAGATAAAGGTTATAGGTTACCTGAAGCATGCCTGCCCTGATTCTGTGGCATTCTTTGGAAGAGATCATGGTTGTATTCATAGAATCTGTAGTCCTCGTGTGCACGATCTCCAAGTTGCCGCCTTCTCTGGCCATCAAAAAAATTATCTGAATAATAGTATCGGGAACCAGAATCTCCATTCTCAACAGTGAAGTTAATTTCTGTTAGAAATGACTGAGAAGAGCCATATTCCCGAGGGACATCTGCTAGACTCCTGGCAAGATAAGAAGGTGCAGATAACCTGTGGCTTTCTCTTCTCATTACTTCATGAGGTGTTCTTTGGATTGGAGTCCTAAGAAAACTCTGGTTTCTTGAAATGACTCCATCTGCAGAAGTTGAAAAAGCTGTAGTGCTTGAATCTGGAAGACAGATATCAGTTCGTCTTGGAATTGTTGGACCATGCCGGATGAATGAAGGCATGAGATCTGTAATAAAACAGAGAGAACAATTGCCATTTCAGTAAGTGAGTTTTCAAATGTTGTTACATGAACCGCCACACACACACACACACACACACACACACACACACACACACACAATCACAACAGGCTTAAGACAACTTTAAGGCTTGATTTGTTAGTACATGGGAACTTTAAATTCGGGAAGATTAGTATTTTCCCACCCAAAAATGAGTTTCTAACTTGCATGAATGTGTTATATGTGAACTCAGCTAGAATCAAATGTATTCTGTATACTACATAATATAAAGAAATGTCAATAAGCTTACCAATGAACTATGTACCAATGAAATTCACAGATTTATAAGACTAGAAAACAAATCCATGTTTAGTTACCAGCATAGTTTATTTATGATGATGATTTTGTTTGTTTATTTTGAAATGATCAAAAATCTTTCTTCAGGGCTGGTGTTGTGCACAGCATGTAAAGCCACAGCTCAAAACATCAGCATTCCATATGAGCACAAATTCCAGCTGCTCAACTGATCCAGGACCCTGCTAATGGCCCCAAGCACTGTGGCTCAGCCACCTCCACCTCCACAGGAGACCTGGAATGGAGCTCCAGGCTCCCAGCTTAGGCCTGGCCCAGCACTGGCTGATGCTGGCATTTAGAGTTAGCCAGCAGATGGAAAATCTGTTCCTGTATGCCTTTCAAATAAAATGAAAGTTTTAAAAAAAATTAAAGTAACCAGCATTTTTAAAAAGCCAATAACTTAGGTATGAAAATTATACACAAAAGCTCATCTCAACAAGACACATAAATGTTGAGGCAGCTCAAACATAGCAAGCTTGACACAAGGACTCCTTTAAGAACAAGTAACTATAACTCAGAACAAAAGATAACAGAACCACAGTTTTCAGCTTGGTTCTCTGAATACAGAATGAGCAAAGACCATAGACATTCCGGGTAAGAAAGCATACAGACAACTAGATACAAAGACCATCTGATTCATTAAGTAAACAACATCAGAGGGCACTCATTCATAAGTGTCAGTGGCTAAGTCACTAATATGTGAAAAAACAAGGCTCAATGGCTGTTACTAAAAACAACATACTTTATCAAATTATCTGCTTAGAGGTGTGGCACACATAGTTCGTGATTCCAAGCAACAGTTAACAGGCTTCATTTGCAGTAAATGACGAGCTATCATTTAAAAGCAACCAACACCAGAAGTGCATGTGTAACGGAAATCCAAGCTGTTAGAGACAGATTGAAAAATGAACTTTGCAGTAATATGCTATTTTATTGAATAGCAAAGCAAGTCCTGAAAGGCCTACAATGCGGTTACAATGGGAAAACTGCTAGCCACTCCTTTCTTTGTGACCTTGGGCACACATTAGCAATGTCTAGGAACAGCCTTTCCGATTACAAGATGAGGTCAGGCTAAAGTCACAAGGTTAGCACCAGCGTCCAAGAAGGAAACGGAGACAAAGGGCCCAGAGGGGAGTGCCAGCTCTGCCAAGCTCAAGGTTGTCCTCAACATAGAACTCCAAACTCAAGAGCTTCAGCTGGGAATCATCCAGGTGAATGCTCGGAGGAGAAAGGCTGGGGATGGGATGGGCGGAGAGGGCTGATGAGGCTTTGGGTAGTGGCTGTGGGTCACCTTCTCCAGCCGGCATCCGGGGCGGCTGGGACTAAAGGAATTCCGCCCCCAGAGTTCGCACAACTTCCAGCCAGGGCGAGTGACGCCCTCAGTGTTTGCAAACAATAGGCACACCTCGGAGACGCCAGCCAAGCGTCTTGGAGTCTGCTCACTTTTCCTCGGACCGTATCACAAGATCGCAACTTTTAAGGCGTTCCCTGGAGTCTGTTTCTTCTTAGGAACTCTGCCTCTCGAGGCAGGAGACTGGGTGTATATTTCAGGGAATGTCTTTGCAGAAGAGGGGATAATCCAAACTCGTAAGTCTCGATCGGATTTTAATAAAAACACACCACTCGGGCACCAACACCTACACACACCCACACACACAAGCATTTCCCAGGGACCCAAGGGGAAGGCGTGCACGCCCGCTCGGGCCAGGTGAGGGTGAGCCCCGGCCGCCCGACACTCACTCCGCAGCAGAGGCGACGTCTCCTTCTTCACGTATTTGCCCTGCACCTCGGCCGACTTGGACACTTCATTTTTGGTTTTCTTTCGGGATAGCATCTTTCCCGACGAGGCCCCAAGGCCGCCCTAGGGCTCCGCGCCGGGCGCCGGCCGTCTCCGCTTCCCCCTCCGCCGGCGCCGCCGCCTCCTTCCCTGCCGAGCCGCCGCCGCCGCCTCTCCGCAGCCCAGAGTCGCCCGCAGGGACAGCCGCATGATCGGGGCGCTAAGCGCGCCGGCCGCCGCTCAGCCGCATGTCAGTTCCTTCCCGGAAGTCTGCCCGCTCCACGACGCTGCCCGGGGACGCCGTGAGGAGGGTCCAGGGACGCCGGGCGAAGGCCATGCTGCGCCGCCGACCGCTTAGTAACCGCTACAGCTACCGCCGCCACCGCCTACCTCCCCTAAACTTTCCCCGCGGCCGCTGGGAATTCTGGGAAACTCGAAGCGGCGCCAGCCGGCTGCTGCCGCCCCTCCCCCGCCGCGGCCTCGGGGCGAGGCTGTGAGGCGGCCGCGCGTCTCTCAACCCGCTGGCCCCGCGCCCCTCAGCTCCCGACCCTTGGTCCCCTCTGCTCGGCGGCCCCGCGCCCCTCAGCTCCCGATCCCTCGCCCCTCAGCCCGCCAGTCCCGCGCCCCTCCTCTCATTCCGTCCTCAGCGAGGAGCAGGGCGGGAGGCCGTCGCACAAGTACCGTGATCGCAGGCCTCTGCTGGAAAACTCCCGGGCGGCGGCTACGACGGCCCCCAACCCCACCCCAGCCCCGTTCCCTGCGTCTTTGTTGAGCGAGGGCGTCTCTCCCCGAGTTTCCTGGGGTGGTTCAAGAACTGCGCCGAGGGACTGCGACCCAGAGAGTCATCTAGACCCCCCCTCTGGTATAAAACATTGGTCCGTCTACTAATGAATGAAGTGGCTATAAATTAATCCGCTGCGGTCAAAGAGAGTGTCTGATGAAGGAAAAATTGGAGAAAAACCAAAATGGAGTTTCCTTTACTTCTTATTTAATTAAGATAAATCTCTTGTTGGCGTCTAACAGTCATTCTGTTATATAATTATTATCATTAGTATATTTAGTAGCCACGTTTTCCTCTTGGAGTTATGTATTAGAACAGTACAATTTTGAAGACTTGGAACACTATGAGGTCTACAAGTTTTCTGACTGAAAGCATAGATCCTGCTTTTCTTGGCTCTACTACAGCAGTGCTGCAGGCTACGCAGGGTGACATTGGGAAACTAAAATGGGATTCATTATCAAGTCCAAATGGAGGCTTTAGTCATGGAGAATGTTTCCCCTGTGATCTAAAATATCTGGTAGACGTACGTGTAGGTGACCGTTAACAAGTGATTCTTGAGAAGGTGTTGGAAGGGCTAGGGAAGCTCATTGAGCTAGTTGGTAAGGACGAAGGCCAGGTGATTCTGGAGCAAGTGCTTGCACAAAGCCTTGTTTTTGGCAGATTGGAGGAACGGCCAGAGGGTCTGTGTAGCTGGTTTAAGAGGAGGAAGTAGTAGGAAATGCAGGTAGAGTGGTGACTGATGGATGGGACAGGAGATTTAGATGTGTGTGACTTAATGTTTTGATCAGAATCTCAGGATGCAGTGTTGAGAGCAGGCTAAAGGGTGGTAGGGCAGGAACGAGATGAGTCAGGTTAGTTGTATAGTAGACATATTTTAAAGAGTTGACAGGATTAATCGATGACTGAATATATAGTGGAAGATTAAGATATGTATGTAAATCTTCACGATAAATATAATGGTGCTCAACAGAAAATTATGCTCCTGAGAAGAGCATTAAAAAAAAAGCAGTGTCTTGCTCCTGTGACTCAGAAAACAGGACTTATATTGAAGTATTGGCAGTGTGGATGGAAAACAAAGAGCAAAGAGACAGAAATGAAGACAGAGGTTGGGTTTTGGCACTGCATTGGAAATGCTGCTGTGAATACCCACATTTCATTTTGGAGTGCCTGGGTTAGAGTCCCGACTCTGTTTCTACTTCAGCTTGCCACTAGTGCATGTCCTGAGAAGTAGCCAATAGTGGTCAGAGTGTCTCAGTCTCTACTGCCCATGGGGGAGGTCCAGATTGAGTTTCCTGGCTTTGGCTTCAGCCTGTCGCTGTTTGGGGCCTTTAGAGAATGAACCAAGAGATGAAAGCTACCTCCCCTTCTCCCTTGCCTCCCTTTGCCTTTCAAATAAAACTTTAACAATAACACAAGAAAACAATAGGATTCTGTTGCAGAGATGGTGGGAAGTGAAGCAGGATGGGGGATGCCAAAGAAGTGCCAGGTTTCTGCCCAGAATGGACAGTACGAGGATATTCAGACATTGTTCGTAAAAGTGACTCTTCACTCCTGAGGCTTCCATAGATCCTGATGTACTTTTAGGTACTTTTCACATTCTTGATAGAATTCCATATTGTAATAGCTACAGAAGAATTCTAAGATCATCTAGGCTAATTTCATGTTAGCAGCAAAAGTAGAAATAGTGAATGTTTTGCCTGGAATTCTCTTCCTGCATGATGGCAGGCTAGTGTCAGAACTGAAGATGTTGTAGGCCTTTTGTTGCTCCAGTATATTAACAGCCCCTCTTTTTTTAAAGATTCATTTTATTTTTATTATAAAATCAGACATACAGAGAGGAGGAGAGACAGAGAGGAAGATCTTCCATCCAATGATTCACCCCCAAGTGACCACAATGGCCAATGCTGCACTGATCCAAAGCCAGAAGCCAGGAACCTCCTCCAGGCCTCCCACATGAGTGCAGGGTCCCAAGGCTTTGGGCCATCCTCCACTGCTTTCCAGAGAGCTGGATGGGAAGTGAAGCTGCTGGGGTTAGGACTGGCATCCATATGGGATCCTGGCACGTTCAAGGCCAGGACTTTAGCCACGAGGCCACCATGTGATGTGGCCCCGCTAATGTGAACTGAGACTGTTTCTAACACAGTTGTTTGGAAAGCCACCTGTGTTCCCTATGAGATAGTTCCAGAATTTGATCCAAATCCTAGGACCTGTACCCATGTGGGAGACCTTGAAGAAGTGCCTGACTTTGGTCTGGCCAACACTGGCCATTTAGGGAATAAACCACCAGATGCAAGATTCTCTCTTGCCTTTGCTCTCGCTCTGTAACTCTGACTTTCAAATCAATAAAACAAATCTTTTTTCTTTCTTTCTTTCTTTCTTTCTTTCTTTCTTTCTTTCTTTCTTTCTTTCTTTCTTTCTTTCGAGTTTTTAAAGTAACACTATTAAAAAGATATTATAAAACAAACCTTAGTGCCAAAATGTTGCTTTCAATGAGAGCGCAGATATTATATTATTTTTTAAGACTTATTTTTTACTGGAAAGGCAGATTTACAAACAGAAGTAGAGACAGAGAAAAAGATCTTCCATCTGCTGGTTTACTCCCCAAACGGTTGCATTGACTGGAGCTGAGCTGATCTGAAGCCAGGAGCCAGGAACTTGTTCCGGCTCTTTCACACAAGTGCAGGGTAAAGGCGTGACCCATCCTCCACTGCTTTCCTAGGCAGTAAGCAAAGGAGATGGATGGGAATAAGAACAGCAGGGACATAAACCAGCACCCATAGAGATCCTGGCACTTGTGAGGGAAGGATTAACCAATTGAGCCAATGTGCTGGACCTATTCTTTTCGAAAGGATGAGTTGTCTAGTGAAGGATTATCTAGTAAAAAATGCAAATGTCAGTAAGTCCTGTTAAACACACACATGGGGTGGGTGGGGAGAGAGTGAGAGAGAAGAAGAAGGCTGAGGAGGTAGATGGGTAGGAGGAGGGGAAAAGGGAAGGAAAGAAAAAAGGAACTCTTTTTTTAAAGATTTGTTTTTATTTCAAAGGCAGAGTTACATAGCAATGGAGAGATTTTGCATTCACCAACAATGACTGGAGCTGGTCTGATCCAAAGTGTAGCGCTTGCTCTGGGTCTCCCACATGAGTGCACAGACTGAAAGACTTGAGCCATCTTCTGCTGCTTTCCCAAAGAACTGAATCAGATGTGGAGCAGCCTGACTCAAAGTGGTACTCATGTGGGATGTTGGTACCATAGGCAGAGGCTTAGCCTACCAAGCCATAGCTGACTCAGGAACTAATATATCCTTTTTTCCTTTCTTTTCTTTTTTTTTTTTTAAGATTTATTTATTTTACTTGAAAGTCAGAGTTAGAGAGAGATCTTCCATTCTTTGATTCACTTCCCAAATACTTACAATGGCCAGAGCTGGACCAGTCTAAAGCTGAGACTCAGCAATTTCTTCCAGGTCTCTCATGTGAATGCAGGGACCCAAGATTTTGGGCCATCCTCTGCTGCTTTCCCAGGCCATAAGCAGAGAGTTGGATCAGAACTGAAGCAGCCGAGACTCCAACTGGTACTGATATGGGATTCCAGCACTGTAGATGGAAAATTAGCTTGCTATACCACTGTGCCAGCTCTGGAACTTCTGTTTTCTAGCTGCCTCTTCTTGGTCATGTAACAAGGTTAGTTTACTCTATCCCAGGAGAACGTAATAATTATGCTGAAGCCTGTAGCTCTTCAAGATTCCAAAACTTTGCTCTGAAAACATGGGAGCATAAATTCCTGAGAATAGTTCATGCAACTTTAGTTGTTTCATATAAAGGATATGTATATGTAATATCTACCTAACTCTCAAAATATGGTAGCTTAATACTAGCAGTTAAACTGTATTTCCAAAATTCTCTACTACATGATTAATAATCCCCACAAATCAGAGAATTCATATCCAAGAGCTGATCTAAAGGAGTTGACCTAAGAGATGTGTTGTCCCTAAGCTAGTTCCTGTTCTTGCATATAGTCACCAACTGGATCCCTAAGTCCACAAAGCCCTGAGATAGCCAGAATGAGGCTTTTGGTTTTTTTAAAAGATTTATTTATTTTTATTACAACATCAGACATACAGAGAGGAGGAATGACTGAGAGGAAGATCTTCCATCCAATGATTCACTCCCCAGGCAGCCGCAACAGCTGGTGCTGCACCGATCCAAAGCCAGGAGCCAGGAACCTCCTCCAGGTCTTCCATGTGGATGCAGGGTCCCAAGGCTTTGGGCCTTCTTCCACTCCTTTCCCAGGCCACAAGCAGGGAGCTGGATGGGAAGTGGAGCTGCCGGGATCAATAACAGCACCCATATGGGATCCCAGTGTGTTCAAGGTGAGGACTTTAGCTGCTAGGCCACTGAGCCAGGCCTGAGGCTTTTATTCTTGGCAATGCTGGTCTTTGGCTTCACTTGTTCATCATGAAAGATCTTGGCATCCGTGGTCCTAGAAACTTTTTGTTTTCCTTCCTAAAGTAGGCCTTATGTTTAACCGCTTTCAACATTATTTTACATGATCTTAGTAATAATCAATTTTACTTGTTTTGAGAAT